TTTTTTTTCAAAGTTTAGTCAATATAAGTTTATATTTTTTCTTTCTAATTTTTAGTTGTTAGTACGAAGTTACATGAACTAAAGTGAAAGAAAATTATAATATATATTTAAAGAACTAAAATTTGAAAAATGTATATTTATAAGGATAAAAATTTAAAGAACTAAAATTGAGAAAATATGAACTTACAGAGACTAAATTCATATATAAATCAAAATAAACAAAAATATTTTAAATTATCATAATTAAGAAAACAAAACATACACGGACTAAATTCATATTGTAAACATATAAATTATATTTAAAATTTATGATGATATATATATATATATATATGTGTGTGTGTGTGTGTGTGTGTATGTGTGTGTGTTTTAAAAAATATATATGAGTGAAAATTCAGTTACTTCAAAAGTAACTCTTAAAAGAGTTATTTAATGAATGTAATTACGTTATATATTGTATTTCTTATTCAGTAAATTAAGTCTAAAAGTTTATATACTTTATCTTTTAATCAATAGTTTTATTTAATAGATAATGTTAGATAATATTTAATAATTTTTAAAATTAATGTTAGATAATATTTAATAATTTTAAAAATATTTTTAAATATTCAATAATTAAAAAAATGAAGAGATAACAAATAAGATAAAATATATATAAGTAAAATAAAAAGAAAAAATATGAGGAATTTCAAATTCTTACTTTTTTTAGAGAATTTAAAATTCTATTATTTCAAGAAATTTTACAAATACTTGAATTTCAAATTCTACTAGCAACGAAATCTCTTATTTGCGAGAGATTAGCGAAAACCCTTTTCCCTCACTAATTTGCGACGGATTTGCGAGGCATTTGCGATGGATATACTTATAACTCATTAGCGAGGGATTTGCGACAAGAAAATTCCCTCGCTAGATGAAAAATTCGTTTTTATATTTTGGCTCATAATTTGGCGAGGGATTTGCAAGGCATTTGCGAGGGCCTAAGTTCCTTGCTAAATAAGCATTAGCTTTAGCGACGGATTTGCGAGGAGGTAAAGGTTAGTCGCAAAATGATCCTATTTAGCGAGGGATATAAATTCAAGCTATTTCCTTGCTAATTAGCAAGGATTTAGAGAGGAACTGTGTTCCTCGCCAGTCCCTCGCTAATTAGCGAGAAAATAGCTTAGATTTGTATCCCTCGCTAAATTCTCTCGCTAATCCGCCAAATTCTTGTAGTGTAATGAATATAACAGATCCATTTCTATTAAAATAGGGTCTTAAAAAAGATAAATGGTCGATCATTATTGAAATGAATTCAACAATTAATTAATATGCATGAGGGGGGTCCTATATTCGTCCATTTGAAGACGACGTACTCTCTAAACGCAAAAGTGGTGGAAGCGTCAAAGTAAGAAAGTGTTAACTCAATCTCTGGTTTCTAGAGGTGATCATCGACATCTTGCTTAATAAAGGTATTATATGGGAATGCAAGAGGGCTTGCTGATACAGATACTGGAAATGTCTTGGCTCATATCTGTGATTTGCACAAGCCAGACTTGTTTATTTCTGAACCTTGGATGTCTTTTCATAGGTTTCCTAGGTCGTTTTGAACATGTTTTAATTTGTTGCTAGTAGCTGTTAATGTTACACAACATCATCTCCCTTCTTTATGGTGTCTTTGCTCTTCTTCCCTTCCTCCATAGGTGCTTATGGCTTCTTATTACGTGGTAGGGCTTGCGTTGCTGCTTGATAATGAGCCTTATTTTTGCTAGTGCGGTTTATGGGCTGATCTCTCTTGGTTACAACAACAGCATGTAGGTCTTGGATGTTTGTAGGTGATTATAATTAATGCAGTTTTAGGGGCTCATGAAAAACAGGGTGGTCTTCCTCGGTGTGCTATATCTTGATTTTGTGGATTGGACTAATTCAAATCAGTTGATTCATCTTCCCACCAAAGGTTCTGATTATACTTGGACTAATAATCGTTGGGGTGCTCACTGTATTCACATGCGTTTGGGCAGGGCCATTTGTAATTTGGCTTTTCTTGATTCATGGGATGATATTGTGCGTTGGTCTCTTTTCTAGAGCAAATTTGATCATGATCCAATTTTGCTTGATTTGCTATTATGGAGGAGATGACCAGATCTCCCTTTCATTTTAAATTTCTTTTCATGTGAAAGGAGCATCCGGATTGTCAACATGTGGTGCATGAGGTATAGGCCTCTTCGGTGTTTGGTTGTCCTATATTCATTCTCAAGTAGAAGCTAAAAGTGGTAAAGGCATCGCCTTAAACTCTAGACTAAAGAAATTTTTGGTAATGTATATGAACATATGAGGAGAGCTTTTCATGTTCTTAACACAGTTCAAGGTTTTGACATTGATGATGCTAGAGTTGAGGCTGAGGCACAATCTGAGTTGTTGCATGCTTTGAACCTTGAGGAAACATTTTGGAAGGAAAAAGCCATATGCAACTGGCAGTTGTTGTCACTACAAGAATGCACGAAAGTAGCGTTGGCCACAGGGTCGGTCGTTGGAGCATATGCATAGAGCGTCGGCTAAGGCAACCGTAGATAGACAATAAACAAAAATAATGTAATTTTTTTGTATTATTTCATAATTATTTAATTTGCGTCAGTCAAAGCAAACGCTAAATAATAAATTTTATTATAATATATATTATAATAGATGTTAGTGTCAGTTTAGCCAACTCTATATCTTTTTAAAAAATTATAATTATGTAATTTTTTTTATTATTTCATAATTATTTCATTTGCATCGACCAAAATAGACGCTAAATAATAAATTTTATTTTAATATATATTATAATAGATGTTAGTGTTGATTTAGCCAACTCTATATATTTTTAAAAATTTATATCTATGGACGAAACCCATTTGTCAATTAGTTTGTTTTATAAAAAATAATATATTGAATATTAGTGTCTGTTTAGCTGACACAAAGAATTGAAAAGTATTAATAAAACTAATTATAATAATAAAACCTGAAAAGGGTCGAAACTCACTCGTAAAGCCTTTCGCACATTAAACAGAACCCGCGCCTGAGTGCCTCACGCCCCCTTCTTCATCTACCCTAACTCATCAATTCTCCCTTTCCCGGAAGAAAAAAATGAACCGTGAGCCCTAGTATGGCTCATGCCCCTTCTGTATTCACTCTTAATGAGCCCTAGCTTGTAAAATTTTCCTTCCCAAAAGCAGAATATGAACCCTAAGTCCTAATGTGGCTAACGCCCCCTTCCCAGCAACACTCACGACCTTCGCCACTCTTCCTAGCAACACTCACCTCTTGACTTGGTCCTGATTGAGGCTCTGGCTCTTCTCTTGGGAAACTTTTGGTGCCCACCCTTAACCTTCTGACAAATCAGACAGGCCATCATATATTCCACAATGTCTTTCTACACTCAGAATCTTGAGGTAGGCAAATTTTGCCCTTAAACCTCAAATCCCATCTTCACCCATCTCAAAGCCAACTGCTTTTTCTGTATCCAACAAATTAAGAACCTTCACAACTTCCAAATCTTACAACTACTTCATACCAACTTGCTACAAGAACTCACTAGCAATGGTAGTCATGCCATAGCTAATGTGGTCTTGAGCCAACTTCACATACAGATTCAAATATCTGAATTTATCAACCAGCTCCAACTCCTTTACCATCAGACTAGACACATGTGGATGGACTTCCTACTCAAAGCATTTATCACTACATTGGCCTTCCTAGGGTAATACATCAACTGAAATTCATAGTCTTTTAAAATATTCCATCCACCGTCTCTGTCTCATGTTCAACTCCTTCTGATCAAGCAAATACTTCAGACTCTTGCAATCACTAAAGACGTTGAACCCTGCACTATAAAATAGTTTATCCATACCTTTAAGGCAATTGAAGAATCATGATAGGAATTACCCTACTCATGACTTAAAGTTGGCGGCAGTTGAACCATAGTCATCCCTCAATTCATCCTCAACCAAAGGACATTTATCAAGATCATGTTGAAGTGTTCCGGTTGGTCATGATTATCTCTCGACTCTAGTTCCCATTGGAAGCTCCCAATCATAAAATTCCAATGTCCAAGTCTACATATACTTGTACTGGACTGCAATAAAACATGTATGTATGGATTCCACTGATAATACTGCAATGTCATATATGCAATAACTGTTAAAAGGCACTTGCAAGAGTCCATGTATATGTAAATATTTATTTTTATTGTTTTTATACGTGGTAATTTGTTAATGTTTGTAAGCGTCAAGCAAAAACTCTTTATATGCAATCCTTTTTTCTCCTTCATCCTCATTTGATGGTGGTTGATGGACATGAGATAACGAGAACCGTGATGCTAACGTATCATCTAGCTATAAATTAGCTACATACAAATTTGATTATAACCTTTGATGGGGAATTACAAATCTCACTATTATTATATGTATCTGCTTAGGTTTTGATAGCAATTAAAGGAAATTTATAACATACTTAGAAAATCAATATTAAAATTATAACATGCTGAATTCAAGAGAAAATCAATATTAAAATTATGTATTTAACAGTAGAAACAAGTTCATTTTAATCTCTCAATTTTCGTTGGAAAATAAGAGGTAACTAACAATATAAGAATGACTCCAGTAACTAGGGTTTCACACATTTATAAAATTGTTTGATTAAAAAAAACTTATATAACCACATCAAAAGAGAGTAAGAACCTCTTAAATACATGAACATTAAATGAATGGCACATCTATCATAGACTATTCAAAACAAAAGTCTAATTACTTAATTAACCAGAGAAATACTATGATTCAATTCATAATCCTCGTAATTAATATATATAATAATTCTAAGAATTTATTCCCTGTTATCTTTGTTTAAAGAATAAGATAGAGATCTTCTGGACGGATTGGAGAAAGAAACTTTTTTACCCTGCCACCAATGATCAAGACAAATTGAACAGAGGTGCTAGTTATTCTTCAAAAGGTGTTAAACAAATGTAAAGTCACAATGGTAACAGAACAAAATTGAGCAACTTCTTATACATGAATGACGAGTTTCTATCTTTACATGAGAAGAATCAACTGTGTATGACATGTTTTTCCTATGTAATTGTAGACTGTATTGCAACTTACACTATGCAGTATGCCCATTTTTTTTTCCAAAATCCAAAAAGACTAGACAAGGTGGCCATAATTTGAGTCCCCAACGGGATTGTATATCTTAATGAGCATAGCTAGAACCTCCTTCATGTTAGGCCTAGCCTGTGGTGCATCATGTGTGCACTTCACTCCAACATGGAGCAACTCCCCCATCTCCTTTGAACCCTTCAACAACACTGGCAAAGATTGAGATTGAGCTAACCCTTGTCTCTCAGAATCCATCATAACACGCCTAGTCCACTCCACCAAACACTCTTCCCCTCCATCCACTGCTCTTCTCCCAGTTGCTAGCTCCATAGCCAACACCCCAAAACTATACACATCCCCTTTTGTGGTGGCTTGCCATGTTTGTCCATATTCTGGTGCCACATACCCCACTGTGCCAGCCACTACAGTACTCACATGACTATCTCCAACATCAACAATCCTAGCAAGTCCAAAGTCTGTTACCTTGGCCTTTCCATCCTTGTCTAGCAACACATTACTAGCTTTCACATCTCTGTGCACAATAGCAGGGTAACACTCATGGTGTAGAAAGACTAGTGCTCTAGCAACATCAATTGCCACTTCTATGCGCCTTCTACATGTCAACCTTTTTGTGTCTGTCACAACTTCCTCCAAGCTTCCACCTCCTATGTACTCATAAACAAGTACTTTCTGTGAACCATAGAGGCACCAGCCATAGAGTGTGACAAGGTTTGGATGAGGCCAGTTAAAGCCTTGACCACTGAGAACCTTCATTTCAGCTCTGAATTCTTTCTCCCCCTCAGTTCCTTCCCTTTGTAGCTTCTTCACTGCCACTTCTCTCCCATCTGGAAACATCCCTCTATACACTGTTCCATAGCCACCCCTTCCTATCACTCTCTCCTCTGTGAAGTTGGAGGTTGCTTCCAAGATGTCTGCGTGTGTGAAAACTGTCTTGTTCAGGTGGAATATCTTAACAGTGTCGGAATACCATGTTGAGGATCCTGAGCTTCCTGAGTCATGTGCTTGCTTCTTTGTGTTCTTCATGAGGTATCTTTGTTCCACTGATGGACTTTTCACCAAGAAACATATTACAAGGAAAAGAAGTCCAAAGACAATGACAGCCAGGGCTACAGCCAAAATCAAAGACCATTTTGTGGGATTTTTCAAGACTATGTGTAGAGTGCTATTTCTGTCGCCAGATGAGTTTAAGAACTCAGGGAGGTTCAAGTGAGGGTCACCCAAATATGAGTCCTTGTCAAAAGTGAGTAAGTGTCCAGCTGGTGGGACTATACCTGATATGAGGGGATTGTATGATATGTTGAACCTGCTAAGCGCATCCAAGTGTGCCAAACTTATAGGAAATGCTCCAGAGAAATTGTTCCAAGACAAATCAAGATTCTCTAGGCACTTCATGCTGCCAATTTCATTTGGAATTTCACCAGAAAAATTGTTTCTAGTCATGTTCAAGACTACAAGTGGCAAAGTTACCATCTGCGGAGGGAATTTCCCAGTGAACTTGTTATCCCCCAAATGCAACATGCTGAAGTTCACCATGGTCGCAATTTCTGAAGGAATATCACCACTCAACTGGTTACCAGTTAGCTGAACATACCCTGATATGTGTGATGATCTAGAAGAGGGCTCAGATTCACAAGTGGGGAAAATACCATATCCTTTGAGCAACCTGTTCCAAAGGGCCCTACAATTCTTCCTTGTTAGGATGGTATTCACAAAGCTGAATGGAGGGTAATCAGCAGGTATCCATCTCTTCATTGATGAGCATTCACTATTGCCAGCAACAACTTGGCCTATGCTTTTTTTATTTGATTCAAATGTGGCCGTTGCATCCCTACCAATTCTTGTTAGCTCAGGAGGAAATTTTCCAGAGAGTTTGTTGTTTGCAAGGTTCAACCACAACAAGCTTGAGCAGTTTCCCAACTCTAGTGGGATTTCTCCTGTTAATGAATTATTTGCAAGGTTTAACCACAAGAGAGAAGTCAAATTTCCAAGGCTCGGTGGAATTGAGCCACTGAAATTGTTGAAGGCAAGTTCAAGTGCCACAAGGTAAGTCAACTTTCCCAATTCAGATGGAACAGGTCCAGTGAACTGGTTGTTGGTTAAGGTTAAGAAAGTGAGTCGAGACATGTGTGAGATTTCAACAGGTAATGGACCTGAAAAGTTATTGGAACTCAATTCCAAGCGGCTAAGGTTGGTCAAAGTGAAAATGCCTGATGTGTTCAACCCTCCAGTGTAGGAATTTGAGTGCAGCAGAAGAAACTTGACTTGCTTGAATTTCCCAAAAATCTTCTGCACCTCCCCACCAAATCCGTTTCTGCTCAAATCCAAGATGAACAAATTGGTCAAGTTCAAAAGGGCCTCTGGGATATCCCTTGAGAAAGTGTTGTTCCCCAAGAACAATGACTCAAGAACAGAAATGGAACCAATTTCACTTGGAACATCTCCACTGAACTTGTTACTAGAGAGGTTAAGAACCACCAAATTCTTGCAGTTAGCAACCTCCTTGGGGGCCTCACCAACAAATTCATTCACCGAAAGATCCAGTTTTTCAAGGCTACAGTTCCTTGGAAAAGCCTGAGGAGAAACAACCCCATGGAGAAAATTCTCTGACACTGAAAACTCCCTCAGCCTGGAAAACCCACTCCATAGGGCCCCACTAAGATGGTTGGTGCTCAAATCCAAATACTGCAGCCTCAAGCATTGGTCAAAGAAACCACCAACCTCACCACTCAAGTGATTGTCTGAAATATTCAAAGTCACCAAGTTCTCACAAATGGCAGGAAAACTCACCCCAAGTCCCCCAACAAACCTGTTAACAGACAAGTCCAGTGTCTGCAACTGTGCCAAGCCCTTCAAATTCAACTCCCCCTCAAGAGTATTATGAGAGAGGTTAAGATACACAAGCTTGTGGCTCCTCCTCAAGTCCTCAGGAATGACCCCAGAGAGAGAGTTCCAAGAGATGTCAAGGTGTGTGAGCTCAGTGAGCTGAGAAAAGTTGGGGAATATGTTACCATATATGTCACTGGCAGAGATGTCTACTTTCACAACCCTCCGTGCTGTGTTGTTGAAGAACCCGCACCTGATTCCTGACCACACACAAGGGTTTGAACTGTTCTTGTTCCAGCTGGTGTAGCCTCCTCTATTTGCACGAGTTTGGGTTTGCAAGTACGTTTTCAGCTTCAGCAAAACTTGTTTGTCCGAGTCCAATGAATTAAAAGAATCCCCAGCAACTAATTTACCTGTACAATCACCACAACCTCGGTAAAACGTACTAACAAAATAGCATCAATGATCAACCTAGGAAAACCAGAAGAATAAACATAATAAATTAATAAATAGAGAATCTATTAACACCCCACCAGATAGATTGGTACTTAATAATAATTATAATAATAAACATTGATTCTTATTAAGGTACGGTTCACTACTTAACTCATCAATTATTATGAACCCAAAAAGGAGTTTGAGGCAAAAACTTTTCCTTTTTTGGAAAAAGAGTTTTGTGATAGTACCTGAGAAAAGGATCAAGAAACAGACAAACAGGAAGCCCCATGAATCGGTTTCCTGCTCTGACATTAATAATGGTGCTTCTCTTGTGCTATGTGCTTTTCTTCTTTGAGAAAAACTCATGTACTTGGTGGTTGTGCCAGGGAATAAAATAAGTGAATCTTTGAAGGCCTAAAGGCTAAAACTGTGAAGCCATTGGAATGGTCTGCCTCTGCCAGGTGGTGGTGGACAGCAAAATTGAACTCTCAACAACACTCTCCCTCCTCTCTTTATTTTCCATTTTTACTTCTTCTCAATGATATCATGCTGAGGTACGGGTTTATTTTATTGAATATTAGTGAACAATGAACCAACGATTGTTGTTGTTTTTGATAAAATAAAATAAACAAAAACAAAACAAAAAAAGCGTGGTTGATGTGGTTTGTCCCCGAATGTGAATGTCAAATCACGTATGTTTATTTTGTTTTTAAACAATATATATTCTCTGCTAGTAGCAATCCTATTTTGAATTGGGTACACACTGTAAAACTTTCTATCAAGGTATTTAAGGGTTATATTTCAAGGTATAAACTCAAAATTAGTCGGTCTTAAGAAAATGAATTATAAATCAGTTTTATAAAATCGTTATATAAAACAAGATTTATTTCTCACTTATATACACTAAATTAATATTATCTTAAATAGATGTTAATATAAAAAAATTCTAACATGCCCCTCATGTCAAATATTCTTGAATATATAATTTATAAGGATAAACATATATAAATAATTCAATAACAACCCGAGTGAATAATATAATAAATTGAACAATAATAATATTATTCAATATTACTAAGATAAATTCTGATATGAGATATCAATTTGAGAATTTATTTCTATTTAATAAAAAATGTGAAAAATACTTAAAAATATTGCATATATAAGACTTGTGATTGTATACGGTGATGGATGAATATAGGAGTCACAAGAAGCAAAGGAAATGAGAGTCACAAGAAGCAAGCAAAGGAAACAAAGCATTTTGGATTTGGTGGCGACGGGGCGGTCGAGCCGCCATTGCTGACCGGTTCGACGAAGATTGGCTCGCAAGGCTTTGACTAGATTGCTACCACGCAAAGACTACTTACTAATGCAACTATCCGTTCACACAAAACATTAGATAAATAAGGAAGACTTTCAAAGTTATACCATATATGTATAAAAAAATTAATATATTATAAATGTTAAAAACCATAATCTTAAATCCAGATAAATAATACAATGTTTCATACGTCAGCTTTAATTATTATAAACACAATAATTATTTAATATTCTGCTATATTGTCAATATTAGTATGAAAAATTATAATAAATATAGCCATAAGATATAAGATAGAAGTATCTAGTTTCTATGATCTTGTAGTATGTAGTAAAGAAAGAGAGTTGTGTTACACTCTCAGCAATCAACATAGTGTTTGTGACATAAAGAACATGGACTACTCATGGTTAATTTAGATTTATGAGATTTATTTTTATGGAGGTTAATGGAAAGGTATTGGAATAAAGGAAGACATGTGATTTTATTGACTTGGAATAAATATATGATCGTGTTTGAAGAAAAGTGTTATGGAAGACTTTGAAAAAGAAAGATGTTCATATGTGACTTAGATATCAACTATACAAAACAAATATGATAAGATAACTACAGATACAACATTTAAAGGAGGTGGGTGAAAAATAGCCTTCGACATTAGATTATTATATCAATTGTGTTATATTTGATGTATTAGTTTGTCGAGTGATGTTTTTTAAATTCATGAGGCCAACATCAGTTATGAGATATATATGAATCTTGGACTCCAACACATTGGTTATAACAAAGTCGATGTTATACGTGCCCAGATAATCATGTTGGCGAGAACAATATCAGTTGTATAATTGATGTTGTAGGCTCAAAAAATCCATGTGATATAGATCCTTATCTCACTAGTGTGAAACTAAAGACAATCTTATAAGATAAAATTACATTAAGATCTAGACTTAAGTTATTATTTATTTAATTAGTCTTTGGCGTGCTTAAAATACTTATTAACATGATTCTTTTAGTCTCAAGATACAAACAATTTATTATGACCGAGATATATATTTTTTTTTGTTAAATAAAAGCGTCATCAAATATTAAAATAAGTATTATTCAACATATAAATTAACTAGTATTTTAGCTAGTGTAATAATAGTTATTATATATAATTAAAATTTGCAAAAAAATTATATATATATATATATAAGGCAACTATTATATTTAAATATATAAATTATATTTAAACTTTATATAAATAAATATTTTTAAATATATAAGTTATATTTTAGATTTATGATAAATAATTTATATTTTTACACAAAATTATTTTTAATTATTAATAATTTATTTTAAAAATACTAAAAATTTAATTTAAAATATTAATAATTTATTTTAAAAATATTAAAACTTAATTTGTTAATAAATAAATAAAAAATAAAATAGATAAGAACTTAAAAAAAGTCCCTAAAAACTTTTTTTATAAAAAAAAATGATTAAAATTATTCTTGTTAAAATAAATATTAAAAATATTATTATACAAGATAGTCATTTGTATTTTGAAATTATTTTAATCAATCAGTAATTTTAAATTTGAGTTTTAAATGTATAATTATGTTAAATATTAAAAAAATTGTCATTCATAATAATTTTATTAGTTTAAATATGTTTAAACTGTCTCAAATTAGCTCGATTTTCATATTACTACTTTTTAAAAAAAAATTATTTATATTACTTGACTAATATTTTTTTCAATTTAGTACCTGACGTTAGTTTCCTCTATTAAATGATGACGTGGCAAACGGATTGTCACATCATCACCCAATAGTGTATGTCATGTCAGTACACATAGTCACCTCATTGTCCACATAAATTATCACGTCATATTTGAAATTTTTTTTAAAAATTAGTTTTCCAAACCCCGCTCATTCTCCTCTGTCGCGCGCAGCGCCTCTTCCAGTTGCGGCAGCACCGCCTCGCCGTCATTGTCGTGCTCATGAAGCCACTGCACAGGGCCTCCTTCGTCGCAGCCAGCGCCTCTTGGTTTTCCTCCTCGTGAAGCTCCGCAGCAACCACCGCCTCCTCCCGCTCAACCTCTGCGTGTTGGATTTGTCCCAAGGCAACGTGCAAACGCAAAGACGATTGTTGTAGAAAGATCGTTATGGAAGGGTTGTTAGGTCTCGGATACGATGCTTCCGTCTGCAAATCTCGCTGGGAAAAATCAACTTTCTGCCCCGCTAGTATGAAAATTAGCAAAAGGAATTTTTCATTGTTCGAATAAACACAAAATTTTGATTTAATTAATCTTCTCCTTTTGTATTTGTGCAGGGGAATACGAATACATTGATGTGATAATGAGAATACGAATACGAACGCGGCGGGGGCTTCATGAGCACGGCGGCGCTGCCGCGGCTGGAGGAGGCGCTGCTCACAGTAGAGGAGAATGAGGGGGGTTTGGAAAACTAATTTTTTTAAAAAATTTCAAATATGACGTGGCAATTTACGTGGACAATGAGGTGGTCATGTGTGCTGACATGACATACACTGTTAGGTAATGACGTGGCAGTCCGTTTACCATGTCATCATTTAACAGAAGTTGACGTTACTAAACTAAAAAAAATATCAGTCAAGTAATTTAAACAAAAAAAAATTTAAAAAATAGTAATCTGAATATCAAGCTAATTCAAGGTTGTTTAAACATATTTAAGTCTAATTTTATTTGATTTGAATATGATTACCTTTAGTAAAAGGTGTAAAAGGTATTTGTGGTATATAATAACATGTTCAAATAATTATAATTTTATTAATAATACAATTAAAGTAATGCATGATAATGATATTTAATTGTTTAAATAATGATAATTTTATTTTGTGAGTACAAATTAATCTTTAGTTTAGTTAATAGTGACTGCGTAAATTATTTTCGTTGAAAAAACAATCATAATAATGACATGTAAATGTAGCACGTTTTCAATCATATTGACTAATCTAAGAATATATATATAGTTGTATACAATACTTTTTCTTTCGGATCATGATGTTTGGTTGAACAAGTTGTGTGTGATGAATCAAAGGTATCTTATTTGGTTAAAAGCAAATGAAAATGTCAGAAAATGACATCGCTGTTTTCTTGGTTAGGGGGTAATACATGCTTTTAAACGAATTGGTCGAAAACTTGGCTACGATTTAGAGAGGATAATTCAGGTTTATGTTAATTAATGAAGCACCAATGACTTTAGATTCAAAGTGATTTTTTTAATCAGAATTCAAGTATAATTTTTTATTAATGTCGATCTTGATGTCTAACCCAAACTTTGTTCTTCTTCTTTTAGAGATTAATAGTTAATAGCTTTTTTGGTGTAAAAAATACTTAATAACCTTTTCCAAATCTAAACATTACATTACTATTATTTAATTATATATGTATTACACGTTACTTTTACGTACGTAGGTATTATTCTGTTCAAAAGTTTTAATAAATGTCAACATATTTTAAAATAGTGGTATACTTTTTTTTCAATTACATTATATATAATATTAACATTGGAAAATTTCAAAGAGAATGAAAAACTATTAAAGTTTTGATTTTGGGTAGAACTTAATAGTTTCATTTGAACCACATACATGTATGAATTAAGGTTCGTTTATACTATGATATCAAATTAGTAAATTAATATAATAACCTGACATGATCTTTATACTTAGTTCGACAATTAATCGTGGAAAATAACCAAGTCCTTAGAATTATATATCTATAAATATCTAGATATGTACTATATGACATGCATATAAGTATAAAACAACTATACAAATGTAACAAAATATAAGTATAGTAATATAGTAAATGTCAAATATATAATCTAAATTATCAGTTAAACAATATATATATATATATATATATATATATATATAAAGGCTACACAAAAGTAGCACCATAAAGGACATCAAACACCACCATCCTCTAGATGCCCTCCATTGCATATCTCCTCATACTTATTCATGTTCTACTCATATAAAGTATGATCATCATAATCCAACTACATGAAAACAAGTAAGGATAAGCTAAGGTTCAAAGAATTAACTTACAATCTTTCAACATAATACAACATAATGTCAATTTGAACACTAAAACATTAACAACTCAAGTTACATCAGCAACAATTTGAATACAACATGATTCATCACAAGTCAGCATTACATAACACTATATGTGTCGTCATGTATTTCAACTACGAATATCTCCTACAACATAAGTAAACAATCTAAGTGCCTTGATGATAGTGCAT